GGAGTTGACTTAATGTGAAGTTACCGATACAGTAGAAGTATGTTGGAGTTGAACTTAATGTGAAGTTACCGATACAGTAGTAGTACGTTGGAGTTGAACTTAATGTGAAGTTACTGATACGGTAGAAGTATGTCAGAGTTGAACTTGATGTGAAGTTACTGATACAGTAGAAGTATGTTGGAGTTGAACTTAATGTGAAGTTACCGATACAGTAGAAGTGTATCAGAGTTGAACTTAATAAAGTATTATCATACAACACATATGAATGAAGATTTACTGAAATGTAATTTTTATAGATGAAACTCTTGATATACATGTACTAGTTTTTAAGAATAATTTGTGTAATTTTTTAAGTTATACTGTTTGTTTCTTGTTAAACACAAAGCTACACAATGGGCTATCTGTGCCATGCCCATCACAGGTATTGAAACCAGGTTTTTAGCATTTTAAACCCACTGATTTACACTGGGCCACTAGAATGGCAACATAAAGTTATGCTGAATTTTTCAAACATTGCAAGTCAGTAGGCAAATAATTTTTTCCCCTCAAAATATGTTATATCCTGATCAGGATGGTATAATTGATGTAAATTAATAAGCTACAGATGTTGGCAAATACCAGTTTTAGGTCTATCTAAGATTTAAAAAAAAATAAGAAGATCCAAAGCCACTACAATTTCTCCAGTGTTGTAATGGAAACAACTAGTTTTGTGTACATTCATATGAGTGGGGGGGGGGCTCCTTTAATTACTTAATTCATGCAAAATTTAGTTTTACATTGCAAGTGCACTTTATGTCATGCCCTAAAACTTCTTAGCTCAAGATATTAATGTTCATGTGCACTGAACACTGAAATAAAAAAGTAGGTCAAGTAAAAAAAAACAATTGTGTGACACAGATAAATAGTTTTTCTACATAACAACTTTGTTAAACTTTCTTCGAAGAATGCAATATTTGTTAATGTTTACAGCACACCTGAAGGTACAGGAACAAAAAGTTGCTCTCAGTATTTACTGCTTAGTAAAAACTAGCATCTTTATTGAATAAAAGCACCAACTAAACAAGCTTAACAAGTTTTATTCTTTTATCTTTTGGGAGGCTAAATGGAGTTCTTTACAAAATATAAGTCTAAAAGGTCGGCATTTTACCGTATCATGATGAATCATTTATTAATTTAATAGACTTTAGTTTTTAAAGTCTTGATGTAAAAAAAAAGAAATGTATGTATATATATATATCTATACATAGATACACATGCATCTGTAAAATCTTATTAATAATCTGTTCACGTTTATTCATTGTTGTAATAGCAGAATATCAAACAATGTTAGTGTTTGATATTGTTATTGAAATCCCTGCTATTCCTACACAACAAAATGTCTTTGCTTACCAATAAATGCATTCCATCTTACAGTAATTCTCATTAGTGTATCTATAAGACAAGAAAATCCAGAAACCATAAGGTGTGTAATAAAAAGTTGTGTTATGGAGGTAGATGTTGCATGCATATTTAGTGTACACACATCGAGTCTAGCTATTTGTTAGGCCTCAAGCCTTTCTTACTTATCAAATAATTAATCTGCTTATGCCGAGAAGAAATAATTCTTCTGAAAATGTCTTTCTCATTTGAGAGGAACTTGACATACTGAGTGAAAAAGAATATGATGAATGAATTTAAATATTCAGAAAGGTATCTGGGCTTTGAATTATAGTAAAATACTTTTGTTTTTACTTGTTGTGAAAAAAAAAAAAATTGATGACTTATTAAGCGTAAAGCTACACAATGGGCTATCTGTGCACTGCCCACACAGGTATCGAAACCTGACTTTTAGTATTGTAAGTATGCAGACTTATCGTTGAGCCACTGTGGGGGCAAAAATGTTTTAGTTGTGATAACTAAAGAAATCTTAAAATCTTTATACGAGTTTTTTTGCTGTTAAAAAGAGAACATACAAAATTCTTGATTCTATCTATGTAAATCTAAATTAAATGGAGTGGGAGGGTTATTTTTTCCTTATATAGGATTTATGGAGGCTTTTTCATGGAGAAATGTGTTTTTTGGTTTCTTTACAACATAGAGGAATTAACATGGTGGAAAGAGTGAACAGCGCACTGACAAATTAAAGGGGCTTGATTCAGATAAGTATAGTTTTTAGGGGTCCAGATAATTTTCCTATGTGTACAAAGATGGTCTGTTTCAATAGTAAGATAAAAAGGTTTATACTACAAACTCAAATATTAGTGGTCAGAGTATTAAGAATTGGAAAGCTCAGATGCAGATTCATTCAGTGAAAATACTAAACTTCAGTTAGTTATAAATTTATGGAATGGTCACTACTTTCAAAAATTAACAATATAGTTGTAAGCAAACTTCAGACCACAACTATGTTTTCCAGACAGGTGTTTTAACCAAAAAATTATAGAGGGGTTGACTTTTGGAATGGGCTGCCTTCAGATTCAGACGTGGCGAAAGCATTAAGGTGAAGAGAATTCAAGGGAAGGCTTGACAAATATTTATATGATAAGGGCTGGCTTTGAGGGTGTTTGTTTACCCTTCTATTACTATCATTATACAAGTATTTTAAAGTTTAGTTTAGTGTAGTGAATAGGTCCCTTTTTGTTCTTAAATGTTATATATATAAATATATATATATGCATACACACACACACATGTAAAAATGTAAATACGTGTTTGTGCACGATAAAATGTAAATGGTTTTCAACGCTAAAAGTGTTAGTTCCAATTTCACTGGTTTGCAAGGTTGGAATTTTGACAAGACATTCAAACTCAAGTATACCAATCAACTTCTAAGGTCCAGAATTTGATCATTTCCTTTTTTTGTAATGATGAGCCAAATGAAACTGTTTAATAAAGAAATTCTAGAGGAGGTTAATGTATAATTGTTGCAGCAACATGAGGACCATCTAATAACAAATAGCCATTCAAATAAAATCAATTAACATTATCCTATTATAAAAATCTAACACCCACATTTTACAATTTCAAGTTAATATCACATGCTGTTTATTTAAAATATATGATTTAGAAATAAAAGATTCATTAAATAAGTGGAATATAACTCGTACATATATATATGAGGTACTTGCTCATTCAAGACCAACCATTTGAAAAAAATAAAAAAAAGCTTTAGTCTAAAAATAATCTTTTATCAATATGCCAAATAATATACTTTGGCTAGTAATTCACACTTCAAAAAGATCTAAAACTATTTGCTTAATAAATTAATATTTATTCAAGGGCCCTGTTGGCACTCTTCATCCTGCCCCCACATAGTAACTAATAAAATGTAACCAATTTTGAAAATTTTGGTTTGTCTTTTAAAAGTACATAAAATCAAACAGTACAATAACAAACATATATAAAATCCTTAGTATGTACAACTTCAACTCAAAAGCTTTTACATCATTCTTAATCTGTCACAATATTCAGATTTGAACTTAAAGGTACCTAATAAACGGGTAAAAAAATGATGAATGTAAATTATTAGTTAAGAGACAATTATCACATCCTTGAAACTTCAACACATATTATTTGAAATCAGGTATATAGGTTAGACTACAAATTTCTGTAAGAATTTGACTAAAATCAAATACCTATATTGACAAATTATTTTAAAATATTTGCATAACTTTATAATTAAGTACAAGTATTAATTATTAATCTTAATTTTTGGTTCTCATTTTTAATTGCCTACACTAGTTAAATCCACAACAGTAAGTATAAGTTTACTATGTTTAATCTTTTTAGTATGATAAATATAAATACATTTTGAAAGAAAATGTCACCTATTGAATAATATATCACCAAGTACTAAATTATGATGTAAAATTAAAATACACTTACATTGATTCGTTTTGAAATAGTCGATATAACTATAACTCATTGTGTTATTAACAACGTTTACAATATGTTACATAAAATCACTTTCCCTTCCGAACACTATCTCTGTGACTTGAAAAGCTAAAGTTTGTACTATACACAGTACTACTACTGCTATCCGTAACACTAACGTTGCTTTAACGCTAATTGTAAAGTGTAATTAACACTAACAGCTGTTGAAAACATTCAATATAGTTAGGAAATTAAAGTTGGAAATAAAGCATATCAATCAGTAACATAAGTTATGGTTGTATATTTAATGCAGTAATCATTTTTATCAGTTTAGATATATATTAATTTGGTCGTAATTTTCCGCACTGACAAACATATGTTTCAGGCCTAACCACACTTGCGAACAAGTAATAGAAACAAGAAGTATTAACTCGGTATCTGGCGCCACAACTCAAAACCATTCACTTTACACTACAAGACTACAAATCCTATAAAAATAGGCTAAATATATTTACAAGTAAATATCGAGTTACGTATATTTCTCACTATAATGTATCTTATAAAAATGTTTATACTAAATTTTACAGAAAGAAAAGGATACTTATAATTTTCTCTTATGCTGATATTGAATATTATGATAGGACTTAAGTTAAATAAGCACTTTCGATAACCACTATCCAAAAAGACAACGTGATTGAGTCAATGAGCGTGGACGAGTATATAAAAACACGTGGTGGAATATATATATTATTTTTAAATGTATAAAATAAAAAAAATCTAAATTAGCTTTTATTTTTGTTGTTAGGCATATTTAAGTAAATTAAGTAAATATTTTATCTTTTTATTGAAATAAATAAATAATTCGGCTACTTTTCAAAAATCATGTATAAAATTATATTTTATTCATCCACAATGGGAATTAAAGATTAATAGTGTATCTTCTACAAGTTGTGGATGGCCTAATTTTTAAACAAGTGTTGTTGTTTTTTTAAGTTTATTTAATGAAAGATTGTGCGTATTAAGTAATTTTATTATTTAAAAGTGTTAATAAATATATTAATGGGCAGCTTTGTTTTCAAAATGTTTGAGTAACGAAGAATAACTTGGAAGTCTCCATAGAAAAAGAAATCCACCACGTTAATAGTTATATTTATGTATTTAGTGAACACACATGTGTTATTTTCATGTGCTCTAACTTGTTTTACAATTACTAATATTTACAATATTAAAATAGTAATTTGCTACATTTTGAAAAGTATTTGCATAATATTTTCAAACAATTATAAAGAAAAGCATATAACTGCATGATTAATTCCGTTATTTTAATATATATGAGGCTTTTTACAAAGATACTTTATAATTTTATTGTCTCAACAAAGGAATATTTTTAAACCAATCCTACAGATTTTTCAATAATCTTATGTTTCACGCCTGAGTGACTTTAAAAATACGGAGTAAAACTGAAAAGAAATACACTAATTGTAATTGTGTCGTATCTGTCTGGGATTATTTCCACTTTGTCCTTTTCCAAATCCCTTTTGCCGATAGAACTCTCTATCAGTGTTCTAAGCTGATGAGAATTGAAAACTCAACTGATCATCGAATGGTTTTTATTCAATAAGACCAAACATGTTTCAACGTAATGTTTAGTAACTGCGATAATCGTGTTATATATTTACTAGTTTTTTCGTTAACGTTCGTTTTTGCATTTTGGTTTGATATTATCTAACCCCACCCCCTTTACTAGTACAAATAACTAACATTTATTGAATCTATATTCGGGCTTTTATACGTAGAGATTTGTCCCTGGAAATAACTCAACGAATTTTAACTGAACATCATTTTTTAATGTGACCAGAAATGCAAATAATTTTACTGTGGTTAGGGTTACACACTTTTTATAAAAGAAATAGGTGAAAGATAGTAATAAGTTTAATTCTCAATTACGTGATAGCCACAGCTTGTTTTCAAATTTCAATTTTTGTTACAATCATTGCAGCATAATTCATGTGTGTGTGGTTGCCATACATGACCTGATGGTTAGGGAATTTGCTTAAAATATTAGAATCTCTGGGTTTGAATCCAGTCCCCGAAAATTCTCGCCTTTTCAGCTGTGGGAGCGTTAAAATGTGACGGGTATTTGCTCTATTCGTTGGTAAAGAGTAGCCCAAGAGATAACAATGGGTGGTGTTGACTAGATGTCTTCTCTCTCAAATTCATCACTTCAAAATTAGGAATGGCTAGTGCTGATAGCTCTCGAGTAGCTTTGCCTGAAATTCAACAAACAAAAACAGAAGCTCCAAACTAATGTACGATTAACTTACAGATTTTTCTAGTTATCAATCAGATAACTAGTACCAAGTCTCTTTGGTTGTTTTCTCTTTCTTAACTCATGTTATTCAGATGGTATGATCTCTTATCATCACTGGGGAAATTCTCTCTAGGTGGTCGAGTGAATCCACTGGTGGCTCTATTTTTGATGATCTTCTGGAAGTGGTCTCAGTATGAACCCTGGTCTCTCTAGTAGGTTGATCTTCAATTAGCAAATTCTTCTCTGAAGTTGGCCGTTCTCTTGCCGACATGTATCAAACGATGATCATGGTGAATAAATTATTGGCGTGGACTAACTGTTCTTCTGAAATCTGTAAACCACATCATTGATTCTTTTCAATATAATATATATATATATATAGTTCTTCCCAACACCTGCTTAACTTTGGAGTTCATCCTTTTTTTCTTTGATAAAGATTCTACAGCCATACCATGTCACCTTGATGAAATTCATTCATGTCAGCATTACCATCATAGCAGTTTTCCATTTTATCACAAACTGAATTAAGTTTTACCTGGGTAAAATCATCTATAAGAACAATGCTGTTCTTAGTCTCTCTGCATGTTCTGTGTAAGACCGCTAAATGATTATCTTCAGGATGAGAATACAGAAGGTCCAATGGAACTTTGAGTTTACTTCCAAACATCAGTGATGATGATTGGGGGGGGGGGTGCCTGTAGCTTCGTGTGTTGCCATTCAAAAACTAATAGTTTATCCATATAAAAGTTTAATTGATTTAAGAGTGTGCTATTGTATCTCTCCACCATTCTACTGGAAGATGGGTGAAGGGCTTGTCCTTGTATTTTTAATTCCAAACATTTGATACATTTCTGTGAACAAGGCTGATTCAAAGTTCCATCCTTGATTTGATGGACGTTACAGATGCATCCTAAATCTTGGAACAAATTCATTGAAGAATTTATTTACTAGAGTTTCTTCTTCCTGGTTAGAAACATCATCTGTTTCTGGTCATTTGGTGAAATAGTCCATCACAACCATTATGTATTTATTCCTGTTGTTATTCTGTGTACACAGAGGACCAAGCACATTAACAGCAAATCTATCAAGTGGTGCTCCAGCACAATATTGCTGTAGCTGCACACGATATTTCTTTCATGAACCTATTTACTCACAACATATTTCAGATGACTTATACCAATTCTCGGCATCCAACCATATAGAAGTATTGTCTTACTCTCTCCAGTGTCTTCTGAACACCTAAGTGTCCAATTTTTGGAAGTTTGTGGAGAAGACAGTTGGTTTTTCAATTAATTTGTTTATTAGATGAACTATGTTAGAGAAAGATTTTACAAAACAACGAAAGTAACAACACAGTCCCAGAAATCCTGTTACCTCTCACAAATTCTTTGGTGTTGGTCAATTCTGGGCAGATTAAATCTTAGATAGGTCTGTAGATACTCTCTCGTTACTGATTATGTATCCCAATGGCCCAGCATGGCCAGGTGATTAGGGCGCTCAACTCGCAATCTGAGGGTTGCGGGTTTGAATCCCCGTCATACCAAACATGCTCACCCTTTCAGCCATGGGGGTGTTATAAAGTGACGGTCAATCCCACTATTCCTTGGTAAAAGAGTAGCCCAAGAGTTGGCAGTGGGTGGTGATGACTAGCTGCCTTACCTCTAGTCTTAGACTGCTAAATTAGGGATGGCTAGCACAGATAGCCCTCGTGTAGCTTTGCGCAAAATTCAAAACAAACAAACCATGTATCCCAACAAACTAATCTGTTGACAAAATAATTCATACTTCTTGGGATTCAACGTAAGGTACCCTTTCCTTATTTGATCCTGAGCTTTTCTTAACCCATCATAAGCATTATCAAAAGACTTCCCAAATGTGATTATGGTATCCAACTAGATGAGTGCCATATTCCAGGGTAGTTCAATGAATGCACACATTATTAGCCATTGAAATACAGCAGGTGCATTAAATAATCCAAATAGCAACACAACAAGTGTCACAATCCATTTCGTGCAGTAAAGATTGTTTTCTTCCTACTTGCTTTGTTTGCTTGCACTTGCCTATATCCATTCTTTAGATCCAATGTTGAAAACCATATAAAACAAAGTAAAGTCAATTCTTGGCACTGGGTAGACATACTTCTTTTTAACTTTCCATTGGTCCATGCAGAACCTTGTAGATCTATAATTCTTCATCAGAAGTACAATACGTGATGCTCAAGGACTAGGACTAAGTCATGAGGCCCAATGGAGAAGGTATCTTGATATTCATGAATAAGTCATGCAACCTATGGCACTGATCAGCTATAAAACCTCTTGTGAGGTGGTAAGTTGTCCTTATTTGAAGATTTGATATCAAATTTTGTACATCTTGTCTCAAAGGTGACTACTACTTATGTTGTTTTTTTTTATGTGGAAGTACTGCCTGTGCAGTTTCACATCTTGCAATGTCCCATCAGGTCTTGACTCAAATTTCATGGTTTGTCATGTTTATGACCTTAAATATTTTTATTCTTCAGATCCACGAGTTTTTCTAACCAATAAACACTCAAGAGACACTGGAATGTTTAGTTCTACTACACCACAGTCAATAGATGTAATGTTTCCTAATATGTTCTTGTATGAGTATTTCACTTCTTGGTGGTACATTAACTGCCCTCCTTATTATCACATTGGAAGTTCACTCTCTGGTGTTGTAATTGTCATGTAGTGCACAGGGATTTCCTGGTTATAGGTTGAAGCTATTTAAAGCTAGCCTAACCTTGCATCTATGTTTCTATACAAAGTCAGTTCCCAATACACACTCTTCCTCAATGTTAATTACCCACACATAATGAGGTGTATAAAAGCTTCCCACAGTACAGGTAACTTCCAGCACTCCTATTGGTGGAACATTATGTCTACTAATTGTTCACCCAATCCATCTTCTTTCTTACTTTTTCAAAGCAACTTCCCAACTTTCATTAGAAAATTGTCAAACTATGCTACCTGTAGAAACAGTGTTGATCAACATACCACAAGGATTCACACCAGTATCTCAATATACCCATTGTCATCTGGGCTAGTTTCATTAAATTAATAAACTTCTTATCTCATTTGAAGCAGATGGAGTATTCGCAGATGAACTTTGCCCCACAAGTCAAGATAATTACTGTTTTTCAGATATCTAATTGAGCTCAGCAACTCAACTTATTGGTAATGTTTCCTTGGTTCATTAACAGCTGTTGATTCCTCACAGTCTCAGCTCTGATGGCCATGTTTCCCACATTTATTACAGTTCCTTTTTCTGGCATCCTTTGCGAGTTTTTTTTCCCTACAAGCTTTTGTCTCCAGTTCCTGGCAATATCTCTTTTCAAGTTACACTTAAAACACATATTGTATTGTGG